TAGTGTATGATTTACAGACCTGCGTACCGTCGTAGCCAAAATGTTCCGAGCAATAATGCAAATAGGCAGTCATCATCAAGGTAAGAAGATAAAAGTCAGTACAATTTGGATTGCTCTTCGTAGAGCTAACCATAAGTGTTATTTGCTACGTATTGATAGACTGCGTCATCTGAATCATTTTTCAGTAATTCCCCTTTGAACTACGCTGCGTCGCGTTCCTGTAGTGATCAGGAAAATGTTGCTCCACCATCTAATCCAACTCCACCACAGCAACCACAGCAAGTCTTCACACTACCTCCTCCTAATCCGCAGTTTCCTGCGGGTATATTTGGAATGCCACCTCCTCCCCCCATTCCTCCATGGACATATCCATTTGCACCGCCTCCGTTTACGGGTCAAGTTTGGTAAGTTTTCTCGATAGTATTACGTTTGACTTTCTTTTTTAATATTTGCTTATATGCGTGGCAGTCTACTACATGTTTTTTATGAAGTGCGTTTTCAGGGACGCCCCTGGGTTTTATGCCGCCTCCAGTGCCTCCCCCGATGTTTGGAGCAGCAGGCGTGCCGCCACCTCCACTGCAACCTCAAATGTTCGGTGAGCAAACAGTCCATGAAAAAATTTGCATCACGTGTTTGAAAGCTCATTCACGACACTTGGAATGTGCAAAGCTGTGGAAAAATGCCTAGTTGTCAGAGCAGGTAGAGCTTGTTGTGCTGTGCAAAAGGCTACTGAGAAGGGGAAGTAACTCAAATCCCAGCTTGTGTCAATTCCGCTTTCCCTGCTGGACTCTGTTTGTGCCTCCTATGCATCTATCCTTTCCCACTTCTCGTCGTCGCAGTCTTGGTCGAACCACTCGTTGTCTTTGATATAAGCTCGCGCAGAATCATCCCGCCCTTAAAGGAAGCGATTACGATAAAGGGCCGCATCGGGGAAGCATATGCGCCACACGAAGCAGTTACTTGGCTGCCAAGGAAGCGAAGTGTGGCGCTTTCACGACGAAAGGTGCCCTGGTTGCTGAGCAGGACTTCCGAAGCACTCCGCCCCGAAAGCGTTACGCCCACTAGTTCAGTTGGTGACTTGGGCGAGCTGTTTGCTGTTGGCTTTTCATTTTGGAAGATCATTTCCCTTTTAGCGGCTGTATCTTCCAACTTGCCCATGTAATGCCTTATCAATCAAAACACTGCTTGTTGGCATGATGGCGGCTATCGGGGTTAACACGTCCGAACAACGTCTTTCTTTGTCGTCGCTCATCCATGGTCGAAAATGAAAGGGCAATCAAAGGGGTACTATTTTGCTTATTTTTGACGGATTTCTTTGCTTTTTCGCCATTGGCGTACTATTGAGCACCCCCACGTCCCTGTAACCCTCCCCCTTCCCAGAATCTATCGTAATCGCTCCTATAAGGCAAAAATCAGTATTGAATTGGTATGGTAATCCCACTTAAATATGAAAGTACTGATGCGAATTGAACAGGAATTGGAGAAAAAAGGAAGAAAATCGGTAAAAACAGGAATTACGAGCCTTCTCGCTCTACGCTGCGAGAAGTCTAACCATAAGATGCAGGAAGGAAGACGAGTGATGATATGAGTCGTGGAGAGGGTAAAGAGGTCCAAGTAGAGAGCGCTGACCCCGGACCTTGCCTTTAAAAGCAGATGGTGCAATAATTGGAGTTTGAAGAAGCGAAAATACATCTGCTGTAAAGAAAGGCAGGTTCTTGGAGAAAACAAAAAGGGGAAACGGGTCGAGTGCATTCGCTGTGAAGGGTACGCTCTACCGGCCCAGTAGGGCGGTTTACGGACTACTTGATTTTTCCTCAATGGTCCTGCCGCGATGGCTAGAGCACAGACGATTAGAGAATGCCCTAGGACTAAGCCTTGGAGAGGAGAGGGACCCGCTAGAGAGCGCAGAGGCGGTAAAGGGCTGAGTTCAAGTAGTCCGTCAACCCAGGCCTTGCCCGCAGTGGTAGCTTCTTTTCGCGGCTGTCCACGCCCATCGATTGGTTACTCCGCTGCTGCTCCTTCGTCGTTGGGCTCGAGCCGATGACGTCAGCTCCGATGAGACTCCGTCCCCAGAGCGGAAAATCACACGGGAAAAATAGGGGTCCCATTTGTTCACAGTTGCACCTCTTGGCGGCTTCACTTCCGATGCCAGCGGACGACCAATTTATCTTGCCACTTGCTTGGAATCAAATATAAGAATTGCCTGTACTTAAAGGCCGGAATTTAGCAATAGGAACGCGTCGAAAAGGGGAATCTGCCGGAAATAAATCTGGCACACTGGCAACGCAGAGACGGCAATCCGTCCCTGAGGGTGCTGACCAACGCGCATTTGGCTGCGAAAGATTTGGCCTCGGCGCTCCAGCATAGCTCAATCTTGGCGCGATTGGCCGGTGTACGCCCACCGACCATCCAATCACCTCGGCCGCTTGCAGGTGCTATACATGGGCAAGTGATGATAAGCAGGGAGAGCCGTATTGTTGGAACAGGGGCCCACGAAGATGACAGTCCGCATCTGCGCAACATCGAACGGGGCATAGAAAGGTGTAGGTCGAGCTGAACCTCTAACTTAATAATGAGTTCTTTCTCAGGCGTTAATTGCGCCCTTCAAAGGCACGGAATTTGCTATTGAAAACTTAGCATCATTGGAAATAACCGTGGCAAGAGGTGTAGTGGCAGCCAGGCGATGAAGAAAAAACTATTTGAAACGGTCGGAAACCCAAGAAATAGGGCTCCCTTACTTACCCGTTGTTTTGCGCTTTTATGTTTTGCGTTTGTTTGATGTGACTCTCAGGCCCTGTTCAGAGATGTCCGCTTACGCGAAAAAACGCAGAGGCGGAGTAAAACGAAAATCTCCGCCAAGATTTAGATACGCATCGACTGAGAAATTGGGAAACGCGTAAGCGAAACGTCCGGAGCAGGCGAATTTCAGTCAAGAGTTTGATATGTATCGACTGTGAGAAACGCACAGGCGGAAAATCGCGTGAGCGAAGCGTTCGGAAGTCGATGCGTATGATACTCATTTTCGTCGATCCTCCCACTTCACGATTCGCCTGTGCGTCTTCGTTCAGTCGATACATATTTCACATTGTTTCGCCTCTGCGTTTTTTCGCGTGAGCGGGCATCTCTGAACAGGGCCTCATCGCTGTGCCCTTCCTCAACACTACGCTCTCTCTGCTATCTAATCACTCGCCACGTATAGACCTGCGGCGAGTGATTAGATAGTCGGTGGGCGTACCCCGCCAACCGCGCCAAGAGTGAGCCATGCTAGATCGCCGAGGTCAAATCTTTCGCTGCCAATTGCGCGTCGGTCAGCACCCTCAGGAGGTCCGCCTGTCTCCCAACTATGCAATTTTCCCCTTCTTTGACCTTCGTTCTATCGTGAATTCCTTCATTAAGGCATTCTCGCTGCTGCTTTTGCTCAATCCTTTTTGTGGTTGTACCACGTACTAAATTGCTAATTTGAATATTTGTATGCTGTCCCTGTGAAATGTGTCTAAGAATGAATGCCATGGAGTTTTGAAGTAAAATATGACGAGTGCTTTTTAGGATCGGTCATTTCACGCAATGTGCTTTGTTTCAGGTAATGTACCACCGCCACCTCCACCACCCAGCAGCGTACCGCAACCTCCACAATCGCCGACGTTACCCACTGAAAAATCGCCACCCTCGAATATGTCGAGAGAAACTAGTGGCCCGACTGCATCAAACTCGCAAACCCGTGCAGGAAAATCTAAAAAAGGGTCTGCGACATCAAAAGACTCCACTGCACCACCAGCTCCCAAACCACCAGAGCGTGTTGGAGGCTCAAAGTTCTTAGAATCAGTTCCGCCAGCGCCGGTAAGTTTTCCATTCCATTCAGTTGTGTCTTTAAGATCCACTCTGTACAGGTGGAAGACGAAAACGTTTTTCAAGCATTTTCAATTGAAATTTGTTGTTTAGAAGGTAAGTGCGCCTACCACGACGAAGCGCACCCATCAAAGGAAGCGGCGGATTTCTCGTGTTAACGATAGTGATTCTGATTAGCTGTCGATAGTGTTGTTATCTCATTGCCTCAATTGTTATTAATGTGGATCTCTGGTTGTTCCTCCTTGTTCACATGCTCACTGTTTTCGTTGAAGTTGTTTCAGCACGATTTTTACCCATTCCGCTTTACTCAGTTATTTTGTACATGTTGTATGAAGTGTATATCTGTAAACATACTTACGCATAGGTCCTTCAGAGATATGTGAATAAAGTTTCCAAAGTGAAGAGAGTTTGTAGTCGAACTACTAGAGGTTAAGTTGATGTCAGATCCCTGAGGATGTCATGTAAAAAAAGGTTCATGAGGCGATCTAACCGGTGTTGACTCGGTGCGCCGTGGAGCAGTGGGTAAAGCTTTCGTTTTGCAGGCATGAAGTAACGGGCCGTGTCTCTACGACCATCCTCTTCGATGGGCTTCCTAGGGGTCCATCGCTAGCATACATTATACCTTCTAGCAATAAAAGCCGTTTAGATGCTGAGAAGGAAGCAGGCGGCCTCAGGGGCGGGGGTGTCGACCATTTTCCTGCGGTGCTCAAACCTAACGTAATTCTGGGCCGGCAACGACTGAACTTTTGCCTTTTCATGAAGGTGGATATTTAATCGAATGCCGGGGGGGCCCCACCGAGTAGCATTCAAACGGGGCGCATTTCAAAAGCCGCTGGTTTGTGGCACTAGGACCTTGAGCAAAGAGAGTAGGAGCGCGGTGCACAGTGAGAACAGTAGGTTGCACACCGTCTTCCTGCTCACTTGCCATACGCTCCCGCTAACGACATGAGCGCCAATATTAGACAACCCGACTGGATCATTCCTAAGTGCTACATGAAGTTTTGGCACATTTAAAACTCTTCCAGCAATGCGTGGGATACAATCAAATACATGGCGCATCGCTCAAAAACGCCGAATTGTAAACAGAACTAGTTCTTCGCCGAGATAACAATTTTTTTCGAAAACTCGGAATTTGCTTGCTAGGGTACATCATAGGTATCGGTGTCGGGAAATCAATATGATGAACGATCTAGCTCCAGAGCTGAGCAGGAGGAAACGAGCGGCTTGGGGAGCGTATAAGAACATCGAGGGAGTAGTGAAGAAGACGAAGAACATCCGGCTCCGTGCCCACCTCTTCGATTCCGCTGTCCTTCCTGCCCTAACCTACGCCTCAGAGACTTGGACTCTGCGCAGGCAGGACGAGCATGCGGTCAGCGTTATCCAACGCGCTGTCGAGAGGACGATGCTAGGAGTAACCCTATACACGCAAGTGCAGAGGGGAATCCGGAGTGCCGAACTACGCCAACGATCGAAGATCAGGGACGCTGCCGTTTTCGCCAAGGAATCGAAGATAAGGTGGGCCGGACACGTCATGCGATTTTGCGATGACCGTTGGACCAGAGCGGTTACCGACTGGATCCCTCGGGACGTCAAACGAACACCTGGACGACCGCCGGCCCGATGGTCAGACTTCTTCACGAAAGCTCTGAACGAAAGGAATGAAGGACATCGTGTCCCTCGAGCGAGGAGGGTGGCGAAGGCTGAGCGAAGGCGCTTGCAGCGGGCGAGGCAGTGACGATGGAGACGTTGCTAGGCGGCCCGCTGCGAGCATTTCGATTGACGGGACGTGACAGTGATAGCAGGTGGTGATGACATCACGTTTGATGAAATCAAAAGGGGGCATGATGGACAAATGCAGCTCGGGCATAGATCGCATTTCGATTGGCTGGGCACTACACATCTTCTCCTCAATCGGAGTCATTTGATGGGCGCAGTAGCGACCACGCTGCTAGTGGCAGAAGCTGGCTGTTTGAGTAGCTTAGAGCACTCTCGTATCATTAGAGTATAATTCCTGCAGCCACCATTTCCGCCGGCTTACTTCGCGATCGCATTCCAAAGTCTAGCCGGCATTCTGCCAGGCCGTAGTATGAAATGTCCAAGAAAGGGCATGTGATTTGAAAAATGTGAGAATTGCATCTGCTTTCGTAACTAATTCGCTGGGCTCCTCTATTACGGTTTTCAGAGAGGTAGGTTTGATGTCCTGAGCTGCATTGGCAACTGATTTGACTTGGCTTAGGCATACAAAGCTACGCGCGTGAGGCGGCATGGGCAAGCGTTCAAACAACAGGGCATGTCAGCGATCGGTATAGTAGGTGTCGTGAGCTTCCGGCACAACTTCATTTCTAAAGGTCGGCGCAGTTGTCTGGTCGAGTGTGGGGCCCGGCGGTGCGACTGGCGCGCCGCGGTGGGCGCATCGAAACTTCTCGAAAGTAGGGGCGCCGGAGAATAGGCAAAGTGTCGGGGCGTCGCCTCTTCAGTCTACATAGAGGCCACCCGCCGAGTGTTGGCCTGTGGTGTCGCCGCGTCCGTTCGGCCAGCTTCACGTGGGGCAGTGCTCTATTCGTATGTAAGCAAGTGGATTCGCGGCAGGACGCCCGCTGTCGATGGAGCATCGGAACGCGGCAGGCGCAGGTAACCGCCGCCCGGTGCACAGAGTACGTCTTCTGGTTCAACCCGTGATAGAGTCTAAGCGCTTAGCATATAATTTAGTCATTTCTTTTCGTCGTTTCTTTCTATTGCGTATTGCATTTTCTTGCGCTCGCAAGGAAAAAAAATAAAAAAAAACAAAAAACACCCACGCCGCGCCTTTCGCCACTTCTCTATAGTCGATATAAGCTTCCGCCGGGGGGACATTGCGTGTTAACGAGCGTCGGCTTTTCTTTGACATTATTCTCTCAGTTCCTATTTTCACTGAAAGGCTTCATCTTTTCTGTCAACTTACGTTTTCTTCATTAACACGTGTTGACGACGTTGGACGACCGCCGTTATGCGCGTACTGCTTCAACATTTTTCGTATTCTCTCATCAATAGGCATTAATCCTTCAGCGTTTTCATTATCAGTAATGAAAAAATTGTTTTTCGGATCCAATAATGTACATGGACCGTTGTGGAACAGGAAAAAACGCCAAATAAATTAAGGAAAACTAGTCTGCTCCATGTGAAAGTGTGGTATGACATCATACCACACGGTCGTCAACGTGTTAAGAGAATAGACCTTATTTGTTTCAGAAAGAATCTAAGAATCCGATGTCTAACTCATGCGAAGAAGGCAAGTTCCTATTATTGGGTGTAGAAGCAGCTTGCACAATCTGCTGCTACTGCTCAGATAGCGGTCAGTTCGATAGCATCCTTTTTTACCTTTGAGCTGTGAAAATCCGGAATGCTTCTAGGAAAGTGGTATAGAAGAAGTTTCAAGAAAGGAGTTAAGGAAAGTGTGAAAACCTGCATGTGAAACTTTCGAGTAAATTTGGTAGAAAAATTGCGTTTCAAGTTTCTGGCAACGTGAGTCTTTGCTATTAATTAAGCAACGATCTGAATACTTTATCTCCGAATATCTGCTCACGTTTCACAGATTCCTTTCAAAGGAGTGGCCTGTTTTCGACATTGTTTTGTAGATAACGCGCTCCGCGCTGTAAGTTGCAAAATCGCGAAAAGTAAAGTACGATTCGCATCCTTCTTTCGAGTTTGAAACCATTCATGAGTAGAGTGGAAGGGGCAAGGTCACACATTAAGTGTGGTTAAGTACGAGGTCATATCCCGTGACGCTAAGCTTGACTCTTGATCAGTGTGAAGAACTACTAAACTCACTGGTTTCTGGAACCATCGATACCGGCAACGTCTTCTTTCGTCTCCGTCAAGAGGATCAATTTGGGGTCGATATGCTCATTGTTTGATATTTAATTTTTCTCTAATACTGATAAAGGCTTGTTACTACGAACACCTCAGAGGCTGGGATGAAAATCTTTTTGCCATGTCTGTCTTCATGTAGTGTTCATTGTTGACATGCATGTTTATTTATCTTTCTTGCTCCTCATTCCATTCTGGTATTCTTACCTCATATTTTAACCCTCATAATGAAGATTGAATATCATCGTCGTAATTACGGTGAATATCTGCTCACTATTGCATAGATTGGTTTGTATTTGAGATTTCGAAGCTGCTAGCACTGGCCCAAGAAAGCCCAATGGATCCGATCTCAGCCGGGTTACTGCGGACTCCCGTGTGTAGCTTGACGTGGAGCCCGTCCATCTCAAAACATCAATATTGCAGATATCGCTGACGAGCCACAAGTAGTGCCGATGGATGCGACTCAAGTGGGAATGCAGGGCAACCAATAGGTTAGCCATTGAAACAAGCTTCTTACTAAGCTTTCCCAGATTGTGGATGAGGAGCGTCGCAATAACTGAACAATGGCCGAAATTAAAAGCCAAAATATTTCGGCTGCGGTTCGTAGAGCAACGCATGATGCTATTGCGGCCGTAGAGTCAGCGTTCGAAAAAGCCATGGTGGTGAATGCTTTGGCGGAAATTTTGATGCAAAACGAACGTTCGCGCGATTAAAGAAGTCAGTTTCCTGGCAAATAGGATAAACAGACGTGTAAACAGTTGCTTCTGGCAGATCCAAATACAGCTAAAAATAAAGATGTGAACTACGCCCGTTCGAAATATCGCAATAGACTTTTTAGAAATGGGAGGCACAACAAGAGGTAACTGGTCTATAATCACCATAGTGAACCATTTCTCCAATTATCTTGGAGCCCATCCTGTGCCAGATAAGAAAGCTGACACTATCGCAGAAGTAATTTTCAGCCAATGGATATGCATCGGAGGCCGCTGGCCAGAGAGCATCTTCTCCGATCGTGGCGGAGAGTTTGAAAATGCTGTTGTCAAGTTACTCTGCCATGTTCCAAATATCAAGCGGAACTTCGCAAAAAGATATTGCCCACGTGAAAATGGATTGACTGAAAGGGCGAACAGGACGACTATGCGTATTTTCAAGAAGAAGGCTGTCGTTCCTGCGTAATGGGATAGAATCCTACTCAGTAGTGTTTGCATACAACGCATCCCCACACTCGTTGACAGCCGAAGTCCTTTGGTTGATAAGATTGCAGACCTCAAATTCCTCAGGGCATCAGACCTCAACTCTGATAGTCACTGTGAGATGCATACAAGTAGAACGCTACTGATTGTGTCCAAAATTTTCGAGCACTGACAACTAAGATTTCCACCATACCTGTTGGCTTATAAGTCCTATGTGAGGCCACTGATTGAATGTGGCACTGTAATATTCAACCCCTACAAACGCAAAATCACTGACAAAATAGAAAAGTTTCAGAACAGCTCCACGCGAAAACTCATGATTAGAGGTATACGGTTTCTAAATGATACCATCCATCCTTCCACGGCTAGGAACGCCAACTTTCGGCCTTCGCTCTTCTCTCGCTCTCTCTGCTGGTGTAGAAACAAATTTGATCTACTGTTTTTCCATGACAATCTACACGTGCGTTCTTGTTTCGATCTCTGCGTTTGCTGATGTAAGACCATCCACTACTAGAGGTGGAGCATTTAAATTGTTTTTTATATCGATCGTAGCTATGCACGATACAACGAACTGAGTTAAACAGGAAAAAGTGAGCTTTGAGGCCTTCAAGAAGTATCTCGATGATAACCTAGAGGCTAAATGACTTCAATAGTACATTTTGGCTCTGTTCCTATGCTTTTGATCTCCCTTACATCCCTCTGATTAGTTCACGTATTGCCTTTTGTTTATTGTTTGAAATACTACTTCCGTCACCCAATGAGAATTGCTGTACATATGTTCTGTTTCACATGGTATCATTGTTTGTCGTGAATTATATTTCTTTTACAAATGAGATTCCTCATCCAATTGATAATACAGAGCCCTCAATTAGTTCAAGCTACTCCATCATATTCGGTCCCCTGCATTCGAAGAACAAATTGCGTTGTACCGAGTGAACTGTGATGACTATAAGACTGAATTTTTAATCAGCTTGAAACTAGATCATGAATACATAGCTGAGCGTGCTGAGAGTTATCGCACCGCAATGAAAAATATGTAGTCATGATAAGCGATAAAAGACAGCGGAGTCGGACGTATTTTACACAGGCGACAGAGTGTACCGGCAGAAAAAGGGAAGTCATTTAATCCAAAGAACCGCGATAGGAGATTCCTAATGAACTAAAAGGAAGTTTGACTCAGCCCTCATAATTCTATCGGTGACCAAGAAGACCACTAGAGTGCTTTGAATCACCTAAATAAAGATGCCCGTACCGAGAAACTGACGACATAGCCGCTACTAGAAGAACTCCCCAAGAGGTCGAATAGGCGACTCCAGAAATAAGTCCTACATGACGACTGAGTCTGCACCTAGCTTAAGAGCATTACAGAAACCGTGGATCATTCGGAAACAAACAATATTATTTCAACGATCCTCGTTTCGATGAAAGTCATCGAACGATTGACTCCCATTGCCCGGATATACATACAAGCATCACAACTAGCAACTGCCCTGCGCTATTCCACGACCCTGAGCGATCGACATTTCGATGCGCCGAGATTCGACATAATTCTGCAAAACGTCCAACTATGGGACAAGATGTCATGTGAAATCATCCAGCTCAGTCGAGACACGTGACTTCTTGATGAACGTTCGTATGTGACATTGTTCTCCTACTGCGTATGCCATTGCTTATGCATGTTTCTGTGGCACTTGTATGCATATTAGCCGAATTGTGCATTCATCGCAGATTGAGGCCGGTGTCGCGCACCCTCCCAGAGCCGAGGATGAGGCTTTCAACGCAAATCGCACTGTGAAAAAAGCCTCGAAGAGTGCGATTCTCCTGGAACCCTGGATAACAGAGAGATGGTCAAGGATTCAGTGCAAGAACACGCCTGTACTCCTGCCGGCTGACTTCGAAGACCACACCGAAGGATCCTCTACGAACTGGCAAGTGCGCATTCCTACAAAGAGCCCAGAGATCTCCTACGACACTGGTTCAGCGCCTAAATTTCCGCCACTGTTCGCGCCAACCTATGATTCGTCTCTGCTTGAATGCATCACTCCTGTGGATGTATGTGATATATACAGGGGGGGGGCCAATAAAAAAAAGACATTTTGTCTCCGCGCTCAGATGGATTTAATCACACTTTGCTCAATTCAAACCGAATGAGCCCAGCTTGGTATTGAAGAGCACATTTCATTCTATAAGAAAAACTTCTTAGTGGCCACCTACGTGGGTGGCACCAGAAAAATTTGCCTCGTAAACATGGTGCGCTGGTAGAGCTCAATGGGGTCTTCGAAGGATCGTGTGAAATAACGACCTCCCCTGGAAGGCGGGTTCCAAAGGGGTTTGCATAGTGGGAGCTAAGGTCCCTAAGAATCTATCCAACGTTGAATCGATTCACGAAATTATGTGAGAGCTTCAGGCTGAAGCAGTTCTGGTAGGCCTCCTGGAGCTTGACGACGATGACAGATGACGTCATATTCTGAATACGGTGAGGGCAGTGAGGAGGGCCTGCGTCTACTTATAGAGGGACATTTAGGGATATTATGCTGAGAAACTTCCGTCAACGACGGCAATCTCTGCGAAGAAAAAAGGCCGAAGTGCGACATGGGCAAAATGTCTTTTTTTTGGCCCCCTCCCCCCTGTAAACAGTTAATGACGTATGTCAAAAAACGTTGAGGTACAGCTCTTGTCAACTCAATCTGTTCGCAGCATCTCAAGACGAATATGAATGGGGAATTGGCGTGGACCTCATGCCAAATCTTGCCGAGAAACGAAACGATGCGTCAGATGCCCAGTTCAAGGCGCCGCATATTTGAAGTGTTGCCACACAAGACATCGGACGAAGGGCGAGCGCCTCATCGTATACTCGAAGTGAACCGTGAAATAAAGTACCAATATATTTCGTCCGGCTAAAGGCAGCGCTCTTGAACGAATTGTTATCTCGAAGTACGGTCTGCATCTTCGAATTCACCCTTATCGCCGCACTTAGAAGGAGGAAATACGAGATCAAAATACTATGTGTGCTATGTTATAGACAAGAATAGTGATGAAGCGGATGTTGCTGCAACAGAAAGAGGGGAAGAAGCATGGTAGAGGAACTTCTGAGTAGATGAGAGGTGGCGCTTTTGTTGCGGAAGCCGCTCTACCAATGCTGTGATATGACGCCGAATGTGCTTCAGAGCCTTTTGATTATCAAACACGCCCACCGCCAGCACCTGGATGTTGATGGCAATGTATCAGAAGTGAAGCCGTCTACCACAATGTTCGATTATTTTCTGAAAGCAAGCACTGGCCAATCAAAGCAGCTACCGACTGTCGATCGCTGTAGCTATGATGCCACGTGATATATTTGGTCGTGTGTTCAGGAGACGATATCACCCCTTTAAGCTCCAAAGAAGGCGATATCGCCGAAAGGTTAGCCAATGAAGGTTTTACATAACAACCTCTATTTGACCAAACGGCTTCTTCTTTTAGGGACATTTTAGGAAATATTCGAAGTGATCGAGACCGGCAAGAAACCGTATTAGCCTTGAAGGGAGCTGGGGAGGAGAACTGCCAGATTTATTTGATGCGAGGCTTACCCTGCTCTCCCCTCTCATTTCGAAAAATCTACTCTGCATCAAGGTAAAGCGTATCGGCAAAAGCGAGCTTTATGATGTAAGCACCACAATTAACACTAATTTATTAATCAATATACTCTTTATTGCATAATAATAATATTTAGTATGTTGTGAATAATTTATCGTGGCGGGGCAAGTATAGAATTTCATGTTTGTATCGTCACTACACAGTCTCTTGTAATCACGAACACAAAGCACCTGAACTCGGAGATAGATGTATGGTGCGCTGAATAAGTGCCACTGAATTATCGGGGATCGTACTCAATGACGATAACTAATTACTACAGTAATAAACTATTACGGTATATCGCATCTATCTGATGTTATACAAACACAACATGGGAAAAATATCGTCATGGACGTGATTCACACAGGATTCGGTTGCCGACTGCACAAAATATCAAAAATACAAAATAATAATACACTACAATCGAATATCGATGAGCAAACACCTTAAGGCACGTACGTAATAATTATTTAACAACACAGAGAAGAGCAAGCGGTAGTATGTAGTAATAGGTAAGTAGGTGATGTGTATGTGTACTCGAATTTACAGATCTAAGCCGATTGATCGCACAAATGGAATTGGCCTCATGAATCAATTAGGACAGGAGGGCATCCTGAAAGTGTGGGGTGCCCTCTGACTACTTGCAGCCACAACTGCACTGACATGTAAAAGGGGCGGAGCTAATGGCCTCAAGGAACTCCGCCCACACGCCCAGTTGCCCTACGCCTTAATTTTACACAGAATGAAAATGAGCATTAGACGTCAATCACGGAACAAAAGTGAAAATAAAGTATCCGATACCGGGATGGACTCCGTTATTGAGAGTCCCGTGATACGGTGATATGTACGGCGCCCTGAATGGAACGCAATCGCTCCAAAATAGCTGTTGGTGTGAGGTCGGTTACGCTTTCACCGTCCAACGACAAAAGACGGTCACCCACACGTAGACTGCCTAAATACGTGAATTTTGAGATGATGCATGTGTAAGAATGACAGTCAGAGGAAAAATATCATAATAAAGAGCTGTCGCTTGTATTTTATTCTGAATTTGGAGAGCAATAGCAATCGATCGCTCAACAGACACGTTTGGTTGCGCCACGCTTTTTTTCTGGTCACAATCGTGAACCTCTTGAAGGATCGGTTAAATCGAACATAACTTTTAGAGGATGGATCTTATAAAATGGTTTCATCCCATTCAATCCCGGTATGTCTTCTATATTATTCATCACCGACCTGAGCGTAGTGGAGCTTGGAAGGACACAATGTTGGCGGTCCAGCTCAAATCCTATTGGCGTCCGCCTGTCCCAACTCTGACACCGAAACTTTAACACCTAAGTAAACGAGAGCAGTTGTGCTCCTCTATTTTGTAACAAATAGAAATAAGTAGGCTTCAAATTCGAAGAAAGGACTTGGTTCAATCAACTTCTGTGTTCTCCTAAGAATTTGCACATGAAAGCCTCAACTTCCTCTATATTACATAGTTCCCAATGCGTGCAGGCGCCTGCACATAACACAATCATTTCGCATGTGGCATAACTGATTGAACAAGTTGGTATAGTGCAAGAAATTCTGCACTGTTAGAGCCAAGCGGAAGCGGCGCTAGCTATTGCTTGCCCTGCTTCGAGCTTACCGCAGCTGCGATATCATGAAGTAAGCAAACCAGCCCCTTGTTGAGTGTTCGGCAGGGTCCCCAACGGTCGACGGTTTACTTCAACTCGGTTGGTACGATAGGAGAGTACTGACGCAAGTGGTGCAGCTGGTCCAGCAGCTCCGCCAGAAGGGCTGGTTTGCTCACCCCAGGACTAAGCCTTGGAGAGGGGACGGACCCGTCCTCTCTTTAAGGCTTAGTTCTGAGGTAAGCACCAAATTGTGGCGGTTCTAAGGACCGAGTTGAAGTGGTCCGTCCACCGTCGGGGACTCCATCCCCTCCCCAACATTCAGCATACGGTCCCAGCCGAAGCGCCAAAAGGGCTGGTTTGCTTACGTCGATATGATCATCTCAAGCACGCACTCCAGCCGTCGATCGCGCCGCCATTGAGCTTTTTCTCTCTCCCCAACTCGAGCTAGAACCCTGCTTTGAAGCACACCTTATTCCAGTCCGATAACCAATGACAAGGTCATAATGCCAGAGAAGGCTGTTTCTGCCACCGTTCAGCATTACTGTAGTTATTCTAGGAATGTGCACAATGTGCCAAATAAAGGAGGTGCAAAATTATATTATGATTTATAGTCACTCGAACATCCTCTACCGTACCCTCCAAAGGGGAGAAAAATAGCCATGAGTTCGAGGCCGCCAGTAGTTCACATCACGGACTGAATATTGTTGAAAGGGCACCCCTTCGAAAAACTCAACAGAGGAAGTAATCCGTTGCTGGATTGCGAAGGTTAAAAGTTTTTGCAAGTCGTTAAAGGGTAGAGCGCCCACTTCTCTAAACTCTTTTCATAGGTTCAAACACACTGAACCAAATAAATGCTGGGGAATTTCCGTAAAGAAAACGCACCTTCCATAGCAGCAGCTGAATTCACAGCGATCATTCTGATGAAAATACCATCGGAACCGGTCCTCTTCGCTAAGGAAAGCCCTGAAATACGTAAGTTAAGACAATGCAAATGCATAGCGAAGGCTCATCGTTCGTGTAAAGAAGTGACTTTTGGCGATTCAGAAGCGTAAGCACGATTATTTTGGGTTAGCACCTGGGATAACTGCACGACTGAAGACAGTGACTCAAGTGCCTTGAAAAAAGGCGAAAGTCGCGTTTTTTGGCTGAATTTAAACACAAATAAGGCCTCTAATCCTGAAGCTAATTACTAGCGGAGCGCCGAGTTCACGACTACCTCCGTCGCTGGAGCGCGCGAAGCATGCGCCGCGGCGGCAATACCTTGCCTCTTTCTTTCTCCCACCCTACCCTCATTTGGTGCTCTTAACAAATCAACGAGCGAGCAAAACATAATTCAAATAGGTTTTGATTTTAGGAAGGAGGAACGGAAGGCTTAGTCGGTTAGGGCGAGATTCGATCTCGAATGAATCCCGGTCATGAGCGTAAAACGGTGCCCTTGCCATTATACCCTCTATTTCGGAAGACGAGAAAAGCGTCGAGTGCAGACCACACACCACAAGTGACGACGGCCAAGAAAAAAGTGGCTTTTCTTTGGCCGTCGTCACTTGTGGTGTGTGGTCTGCACTCGACGTTCTTCTCGTCTTCCGAAATAGAGTATACCTCCTCAGTCCGTAGAGAAAAGAGATTTCCATTGCAGTTCTAATCGTGGACAAACTGGTATTTTCACTTACCTAAAGAACCTTCCGGCTTCTTCTCCAGCACTGCAGTGATAATATTGCCGTTTTTCTGTGATTCACGCCGTAATCCCAACGTCACGACGTTACCGCCACTACGTAACATTGACACCACTTCTTGGTGCGATTTATTGGACACCGGCTCACCGTTCACCTGAAAAAAGGAATTTGCCTTTTTTGAAAACACCCCAATAATTTTCAGGCTAAATTGCCTGAGGAAGTATGGAAAACCTACATAGATAAGAGCGTCACCGACGTGAATATCTGGATGACTAGCAGCAGGTTCAGCTGTCAGTTGTTTGATACAGACTCGTCCACTTACGGATGCGATCTGCACACCCAATGAACCGACTGAGTTGCGTTCCAATTCCACCTAAACACCATAACTTTTACTCTTCAACAAATCAACTAGAAAGTTGTTTAAGGGCATCGGACACGGAAAAAAGACCAGTTCTTAGACCGATATAAATAGTTCTGTGTGGTACCGTAGAACAATGGGTAGAATCGCGCCAAAAGAAAGTGGACTTCCGAAAAGAAACAGTTCTCAGGAACGTCCATCTTCTGGAGGGACATGGTCACGTGGGCGGAGTTATAAAGGCTATTCTGGCATGACATAGCATGTGGGACCGTAGCCGTGCTGATAGGCCAGGGGGAATATCAAAACCTACGTAAAAACTGACGTGTAAACGCGTTACTTTTGAAAGTTTACACTTACGCGTTAACGCGTCCAACATGTTAAAAGGTAACAGTTTCACGACAGAACGCTCTCTAAACGAAGCAGATGACGCTTACTTTCTGCGACTACGACACACCAGCAAACAATTGGGACTTTCGCGCCCACAGCATCTGTGACAGTTCCAAAGTGGAGGTGCAAATTGTTCATAACTTGTCCACAGTTTTTGTAGTATCCATCAGAATGAAGCCGTTTTCTCATTTTCTCTCTTTTTGTGATCACCACGACATGGGGATCAAAGTATCGATTTTTTTGGAAAGAACTTTAAAGCCTCATGATTTCTGTAGAAGATGCCTCTAAGAAGAACTGCGGATTGTATTCACTTACATAAATGATGTCATCCTCTACTTCAGCTTCTTCACCAACTTCTTCCAACTCATCGGTCCACTCCAAATTGGATTTCTAGAAAAAACAAAATTATGTGCCACTCGAAAATTCTTAAATCCTGCTGGCTTACATTCTATATAGGATTTATTGATTAGCTAATCTCTTTTAGAAAAAGGTTTTGT